GTAGCCAGTAGCCAGTAGCCAGTAGCAGTAGCAGTAGCAGTAGCAGTAGCAGTAGCAGTAGCAGTAGCAGTAGCAGTAGCAGTAGCAGTAGCAGCAGCAGTAGCCAGCAGCAGCAGCAGTAGCAGTAGCAGTAGCAGTAGCAGTAGCAGTAGCAGTAGCAGTAGCCAGTAGCAGTAGCAGTAGCCGTAGCAGTAGCAGTAGCAGTAGCAGTAGCAGTGGCAGTAGCAGTAGCAGTAGCAGTAGCAGCAGCAGTAGCAGCGGCTGCAGGAGCAGCAGTAGTAGTAACAGTAGCAACAGCAGCAGTAGTGCCCTTGTTGTTGGTGTCGTTGGCGTGTTGTGACAGGGAAGTGCCTAGTGAGTAGTGGGTAGTGAGTAGCGAGCAATAGGTAGTAGGTAATAGGACATAGCAGCCCGAAGTAAGTGGTAAGTAACAAGTACTAAGTAGTATATAGTATGTAGTAAGTATTAAATTCTAGAAGCAATTGTGAGTCTGTTGTGGCTGTGGCTGTGGCTGTGGTTCTGGTTGTGGTTGTGGTTGTCAGTGTTGTTGCTGTTGTTGCTGTTGCAGCTGTTGATGCTGTTGTTGTTGTCGTGGTCGGCATTGGTAATACAGCTTTCTGAGCAATATGTTTTTGCTGGGGACCATGTTAATGTTCAGCGTGTAGACTTAGGTTCTTCGTCTTGGCAGGAGCATAACGCCCTCACGTCTGTCGCTCTTACCAACTGCGCTCGCATGGTGGCTATGGGTGCTACTAATGCTTCCGTCAGTGTGCCAACTCTGATAAGGATGGCTAGCTTACGTCGATGAGGGAGGGTCTCTAAGGCTTCAAGATTAGACCCCCCGACTAAGACCACAAATAGAGCCGGCTGCACCTCGCAGTCATAGCAGGCTGCACCATGGGACGTGGCGGTGATGCACACGCATCTTGCTCTTAAGCAAGATACTCTTAACCGACAAAATGACGAGTGTGCCGCGGGCCACCGGCACCTGCCTTATGGCACCTCGAGACAAGTTACTATGCGGACCAGACTTACGCCGGAAGAGCCGCGCCTCATCCGTCACGGCCTTCTTCTTCTTCTTGGGTGCTGGCTTGTGAGCCTTTTGTCGAGATGAAGACTCTTTATCTAGGAAGGAGGTTCAGAGACTTTGGTTTTTGAGCGGAGGGTTCACGAATTTCCTTGGCAGCACCCAGCAAGTCCTAAATTCTAAAGGACCGCAAGCAGCAGCATCATCATCATCATCATTAACATCATTATCATCAGGATTATCTTGACGCTGTGATCCTGACCACCGTCGGACTGATGATATAATGATGACCATCCAGGAGACACTAGTCGTGCCTCTGCGAAGAAGCCATACTCATACTCAAAATGTCGCACAATCATACGCCTACATCGACAGTAGTGCTAGAATTTTGTCAGCGGCCCAGACCTGACCACGAAGCCATGAAGCAATTGGATGCTACGAAACCTCATCGCTCTCACCTTGGCCATTTCTGAATGTTCAAGAAGATTCAGGTTCATTGCGCTAGACGGAGTCGGCCGGAGCCTCGTTTAGCGAAGCCGAACAGCCAAAAACTGAACCGGGCAACGCAACTCGAGGTCCATTGACAAGGCTGAAAGCTCACTGCTTCGGCCAGTGCGCCTGCCACTGCCTACTGCCACTGATACTGCTTCCTACCATGACGAGGACAGACTGCTGCCACTGCTACTGCTGTCACTGTCCCTGCTCCAGCTCCTGCTGAAACTGTCTCTGCTGCTGTGGCCGGGGCGGCTGCTGCTGCTTCTTGCTCGCGCTCCTGCTGCTGCTACCACGACGACTGCCAACATTACCACCACTACGACTTTGCCTTGCCGTTGCTGCCGCCGCTAACGCACCACCACCGCCACCATCACCACAACAACAGCAATCGTCATGTCTATGGTTTTATACTCAATGCTGGCACTGATACTTTACAGCACGTGGCTAAGGGAAGGCTCTTTGCCTCAGGCGGCTTTGCCACATGCTCCGGCTTGATGGTCGCCGCATCAACGACGCCCATCGTCCTCAAAGGAGCACCAGACCGTCCCTACACCCGAAACCTCTGAAGCCTCAACCCCCGAACCCCGTACCACTCGACTCTGAACCCTTCTCTAGATTTAAAAGCTCAGAGTTCGCGCAAAGCTTATTAGGCTTGGTTCAGGCTTGAACCTCCTTTGGGTTTAGGATTTGCTCGGAATTCTTCGTCAAAATGCTTCTGTCTGTCCCTGCACAGGCACGGGCTGAAAACAAGTATCCATGGGTTTGAAGGGTTTAGATTAGGCTTGAATGGCCGTGGGATTAAGCTTTGGGGTTTAGGCTCATAGCCCAAAACCCAAAAATCCTCAGACCTCTAAGATGATCAGTGCTGCGTCAAGCGGCAACGCCGGCTTCAAGAGCTTGTCCATGATGTCCTGCGCTCTTTAAAATAAGGCAATAATGCCGAATAACCCCCTGAAATCTTATTCATCCGAAGACCCGCCCTAAAACCTAAACCATAAAACCTCCTAAACCCGAAACCCTAAACCCTAAAAAAACCTCCTAAACCATGAATCCTACATCCCCATACCTGAAGTCCAAACTCGGGGCTCCTGGTCTAGGCCCCTCGGGACTGCTTTGCATAAACTCTGATTTGCGCAAAGCGCCACAAGCTTAAAATCCTCAACCCCCAAACCCTGGAACCCTTGGCAACCCTGAGACCCCTAAGCCCCAACTACAAGGTGAAGTGCCTGTCCTTGGGATGGATGGGGTCGAAGATCTTTGTTGCATCCATGCCCGCAGCATCCTCTGCTGTGGAACCCTAAAGGGTTTAGGGTTTAGGGTTTGGGGTTTAGGGTTTAGGGTTTAGGGTTTAGGGTTTAGGGTTTAGGGTTTAGGAAGCTTCATGCGATGCAACGTGTTAGCAAAGGATCTGCGTTTTACGGCAAAGGTCTTGTGATGTCTCCAAAAAAAGGTAAGCTCTCTCTGGGTCCCCTGAGCCCTTCGAAGCTCCAAAGCGCAGGAGAGCATCCGTGATGAGCTTTGCACCCCCGGGGTGGACCTTTGCGAACTTCGTCAAGTCGTAGGCCTTGGGGTCAAGCTCTTGGGTTCAAGGTTTAGGATCAAGGCTTTAGTTCTGGGGGTTTTGTTCGAGGGTTTGGGGTCTGATTCTAGGGTTTTGGGTTTAAGGTTTAGGGTCAAGTCTCGGGGTGGTGTTTGTGAAGCAGTGCAAAACATGCGGGGCCCCGTCTGGAATGCCCCGGTGCCTGGATCCACTCGCACGGTCATTCTGCGAAGCGGGCAAGGAGCAATAACTTCAAATGCCCTTTTGAACGGGACCAGTACTTTAATCCCAGCAAGAACATGCTCCAGAAACAACCAATGCTCCTGTGGGAGGCGGGCTGGCGAACTGGCAACTTCGGCTAGTTCCAGGGTTTGTGGCCTCAGGTTCAGAGTATACTTGGCCTTAGAGTTTAGGGCATCGGGATTCAGGAGTCGAAGGTGTAAACACGCACGCTGGATCCCGACACCCTGGCTGAAGCCGGATAAGCCGATGAGCATCCTGAAAGCCCCCTGATGGGCAACCCCTTTGAACTTGTTCTCCTTACGAAGCCCCAGCATGCCTAAGAAGATGCATGCAAAGTTCCACGAAACCTGGGAAACCTCGCCCTTGCCCCCACCTTGCCGTAGAGGACGACCCAGCAGTCTTCCTTGGTGTTGTGCTTGGCAACCTCCTCCATACCTGGTTTTAGGGTCATGGGGCTCTCGGGTTTAGGGTCGAGGTTTGAGAGTTTACGGTTGAGGGTTGAGGAGGATAAGGAGGCTGACGGTAGCCCCAAGGCTACATGAGACCAGCTGCAATAAGGCTGGAGCCAATCAACAGGTGCCTTCGGGGGCAGAAGATGCGCAAGAACCCTTCAAGCATGACGATAGCGCATTCCTGCTTTCTTCGGAACGAAAGCTGCACACTGTGGCGCTTGAGGTCTAGCATGGCCCGGCAGTTTCGTAAATGCTAAACTGAAAGGGCATTTCGGGTCCAGGGCCCAGGTTTTGCGCCGGAGGATTTTACTTTCAGGGTTTGGGCTTAGGTTTTGCGGCTTGGAGCTACAACAGGCATAAATGCATACAAATAACAGCAGGAGTTCTGATAATAGCAAGAGCAATGGCATCAATAGCAAGATATCATTCAGAAGAAACGGAATAACGATAACGATATAAGCAACCATATGCAACACATGGTGATTTAAGTGGGCCCCCGCTACGCCATGTTGGAGCCACCTTCGGTTGCCTTCTGCAAGCACTACAGTCCAAAACCAGCAAAGAGGAAGGGTAGGGGGCTTGGGATCAATTGTTGAGCAGGTTTAGGATTTAGGATTTAAGGGCTTGATGTCTGGGGGTCCAGGATCCAGGGTCAAAGATGCACGAAGTTTTATTTTTAACGTCTTTTTTTCCGCATTGAAGATTGAGGAAGCAGAGTTCAGGGCTTAGGGTCGCAAGTACCATGTCTATTGGCAAGGATGTTTCGGAGGTGAAGAACACAACCGTAGAGATACGAAACCTGAACATCCTTCAGTCAAGGTCCTACACTTGCTGGCTTGCCGGCTGCTGTCGTGGTGGGTTTGGAAGTTCAAGTTTTGGGGCCTTGCGTTTCAGGTTTAGGTTCCAAGCTAAGGGCGGCTTCGGACAACCCGGAAGTGTTCAACCTCTGGGGATCGTCATGAAGATTTCCTGAACCTTTCAACCTCGCAGAGCCTGGAAGACAGAATGCGGTCCGGAATGTAAACCCTCAGCAGAAGGCCAGACAAACGAGAAAACACTGAAGACCCAACATGAAAGTCGAGGCTTCGTGCGGCCATGCGACTCAGGACTTTGTCCGACATGGCGACGGAAGCTGGGTAGTATCAGAGCTCTACGTGTACCGGTAAATGGCAAAGCTGAGCCAGACGGAAGCAGGCTGCGGACGCCGGTGAGGGGCTTTGCAGGTTTGAATGGCATGTGGGCTCAGGGTGAAGCGTGTTGGGCTTCCAGTTTCGCAAGGGGCAAAACTTTAACTGAACACCGTCAGGATTTCGACCCCCAAAGGACGTACCTGGAGCTGAGAGGCTGAGAGATGCAGCGTGGCTCCCTACTTCTTTGGGTTGCCCTGAACTCGCGGCCTCAAACCGCAAACCCTAAACCCGAGACCCAAAATTTCAAAAGCTCGAGACGAAGGCTGGGCAACCCGAAACCCCCCAGCACTGCAGAGAGATTAGGGTTAAGGGCCTATAGGGTTTAGGGTTGACTTCTAGTCTAGCCTAGGAACTCCCAAGATCCTCCAAAAGCATACATCCGCCGATGCTCTCGGCCCAAAAGCCGCAAACCCAGCCCGCGAGACCCCCCAAACGAACACCCACAAGCCATAAAACCCTCAAACCATCAAAGGGTTTAGGGTTTATAACAGGGTTTAGGGTAACCCAACACCCTGGATCCTAAAATCCTACACCCCTGGCACTTAGAGAGCGGCTTCCCTGGGCAGCATCACTGGCAGCTTCCGCAGCGCAGACCAAAGCTCGCCTGGGGGCTAACTACTGTTTTCCCAGTCGTGCTGCTATCATTCGTATTCTTGTTACTTACATTTATTATGTATTACTACAACCACTACTGATGCTGCTGCTACTACTACCACCAC